GATATTTGGAGGAAACTTTACCAATTGCAGCAACACAGATTAAACCGGATATTGAACCTTTGATCAAGCAAAAACAATGTCAAATTTCAAATTAAAACTGAAGTAACTACCGCCAGTAATGTAATTCTTTTTTTGTAAATGCATTTTGTAACATCGTTCTGTACAATCATCTATATACGTTTTTTTTTCATAGTTAAAAAAAGTTGCAAAACATTTTAATTCGATTTCCATTTGACTTTTTGGAACCAATGCATATATATACAAATCTGTAACACTATCTCTTCGCTGAGAATCAAATATAGTCTTTCAAAAGAAACCTCTGGCTAAACTATTTTTTTGACAGACATGTGGCCCGCGGATCATTGAGAATTTATTGTTGTGGCCTTCGGTCGTGAAGGGTTGAAGACCCCTTTACCTACACTATACAGAAACTACATTTCATTTCTTACTTACCTTTTAAGTTAAATTGTCAGAATACCTCATGTTTATATGTATTGAAAGCCAGTAAAAATTATATTTTAGTGTGTCAGAGTGAGAATTCAGTATTTGTTCTTGCCATTAGCTTTCAATTCTTTCAAGCTCTCTGTTGTAGTCAAATACTGAATTTAATTGTCGAATCTAACTGATCTTGAAAAGGCATTTTTTCTTGTAGTCGATGAAATTAATTATGTGCCACCAGTCATCGATAACCAGAATTACTATTTTAGTTGCTTCAAACAGATCAATTTAGCACTTTAGCTTTATTTTTTGTTTTTACTTGATTGCTTGAATTTTGAAAGAATTTCGTAAAGCAATAAAAAGTGTAAATTTTTTCGTTTACTTCATTTTAAATTTCAGTAAGAAATTTTTGAGTTATTTCGGCACAAATCTATTCTAAATTTCGAGCAGAAATTTCACTCCTTCTTAATTTGTAATGTCAAATCTTAACCCCCCAAATACCCCCCCCCGAAAAAAAGAAAACTCAACATTCATTTGTTTGTTGTACTGAACGTTTCTCTTAATTTAAGATTTTTCCCCTAATACTTTTATTCTATAGATACACATAATTTCATATTCAGTTACAAAGCCCTTTGTTCAAGACCGCATAACTGCCGTGTCGAGAATCCCCACTGAATCGTCATTAAAATTTTTCGTCCTCAATAACCTTTCTGTTCACTGTTTCACTATCGCCAACGGTAGTTTTTGATTTAGAACCATAATTCGTTAGGTGATTGATGATTAGAGCACTGTCATCGCAATGAAAATCCTTTGTTATATTATCTCCTTTTATTACTGCTTTTATACATTTCTTCACAAATTCCATTAATTGGAAAATTTGAGATTTTTTTACGATATTTTAAAATCCTTGAAATTCGCTGATCTCTTCATAAAGTTTAGGCAGCGACCGCTTTACACAATTGACAATGTATTATGAGACCGGAGACTAAAGATATGTTTTTCTGCTTAACCCTTTACATTTGGGACTTTTTTCGCGCAGCGGCGCACCAGCAAGTCGAGACATTTCGCAGCCTTTTTGACGCATTTCTTACCAATAACTTAAAATCATTACACACACAAATTAATGTATAAAATTTTTATATTTTAACATTTTATACATCTTTGCACATTTATAAATATAATTTCTTAAATATTAGTCTCTGTAATTTTTCTGTGTATGATATTTCATGTAACAATGCCCCCCCCAAAAAAAACATGAATTTACTTGCTGTACTGAACATCCAGATATAGTCTGAACAATGCCCAATGCTTTAATTATTTATATTAATTAAATAAAATTGAACACAAAATTGCACTTCCGCGCGTACGCTAGCGCCGAAAATATGCAAACTCGGTGACTGGCAATTTGGTGCGAAATGAACACATGTTGGAATTCTGGTCTGTCGTGCTGTTTAAAGTCAATTTGGTTTCTTAGAGTAATCAGTATTCAGTAGTTATGGCTCAAAGGCATCATTTATGTAAAGGTCAAAATAGCCAATTATTGGTAGAATGGAGGAAGGTGAAACACAAATAGAGGTGTTCCAAGATTTGAAATATCCCTCAAAGTGTCATATCAAGAGTTTGGAACCGCTTTTTAAGCACTGGATCAGTTGATAGATAATCTGGTCAAGGGCGACCTAGAGCAACAACTGCATCCGACGACCGTTTTCTATCGTTTTCGGCTCGGAGAAACCGCGAAGTTGCTACAAGATATCTGATTTTAGACCTTTAGGCTGCCACAGGAACTCGAATTAGCCGTTCTACTGCTATACGAAGGCTTAACGAAGTTGGATTGTATTCAAGAAAACTGATTTGTGTCCATTCACTCCGACTTCCAGAGCGGGCCATTTAAACTGGTACTATCGTCATGGTCAATGGAACCAAGATGACTGGGCTGGAGTGTTGTTTACTAACGAGTCCAGACATAGTCTGAACAGTGATTCTGGAAGCGTTTTGATCTAGAGAGAGAAAGGAGTATTCAACTTGCCTTCCCTTGTCCGTGAAATACCCCCGTTTCTGCGACCGCGGTTCAATGTTTTGGGAAGGAAATCGTAACAAATGGCCGCACTGAGCTCCATAACTTTCAAGGAGTTTCTGAAACCGATCGGAGATGTGTGGACGAGGTATTAGAACCATAGGTTAGACTGTTTAGGGGTGATGTTGGTCTAGAGTTTTTGCGAACGCTAGCATGTGGGAGATGACTTGGAGCGCCAAATTTCTTTCTGGACCCTCCAGTAGCTGAAAAGTGCACTTTTAGAAGAAAGGATTGCAGTTCCACAAGACTTAATCAACACTTTGGTAAAATCTACGAAATCAAGAAGTGAGGTATGCATATCTGTCCGAGGTGACCATACACCATACTAAAGAAAATTTTTCCCACAAGAGGTGACTTACTTTTTTCCATCATTTTCCAATTTCCATAAATTTGGTTTAAATTTCAATACTTTTCTAATAATCAAGTGTCAAGCATTGTAATTTATGTTAATTAATGCTTTTGGACAATTTTTTGTTAATAAATTTTCATTAAGTTTGAGTTACGTTTTATTTCTGTCATTATCCTTTAATTTTGATGACCAGTGTACATAGCTGCTACTTATTCCGGTTTTTAGGCTCACCAGCGGCCGAGCGGTAAAGTCGCTGAACGCGAAATTCGAATCCCGTGAGTGGGCTGGCAGCATGGGCCTTTTTGTGGTTTTCCCCATGTGTAAGAATTCCATTTCATTTTCAGTCGGCTTCCCTTAGAAAGTCTTCCACGAGGGCTTCCCTCCTCTTAGACAGATAGCTTTCGAGGGCTTTGCTGTAATCAAATAAACCATAACAACCTATCCCAGTTTTTCATCATATCTCCCGGTAAATCACCGCATTTCATTGCTTCTAATTTTTAGACTTTACTAAGGAAAATATTTCCCAGCAATAAGTGAAATTTATTGAATTAATCAAACTTAAATTAGGTAAATTTCAGTCCCCTAACTCTAATTATTTTCAGAATAATTTTTCTTATTAAATTTTATTTCGGGTATTCATTTCAATTGTATTTTTTCCTATCGCATTTGCCATATTAAATTTTTCTTATTACATTTCATTTGATCTTAGTTGTCTTAATCTACTGTAGACTTTGGTAGATTTTTCTACGAAGATTCAAGCGTGTTTAATCAAATTTGAGCTGAAATAACACGCCGAATTTGGAAGCTTCAAAGCGACAAGGATCAGCGCATTATTCATAAATTTGCAGAACTAGTTTCGAAGTTTTAAATATAGAATCTTCTTTATCAGCTTCAGAAGTTCAAATGACCGTGACATTATGAATATTACGCTAATTCGTGTTGTCTTAACACCTCCATTTATCATTTAATATTTGTAATAATTTTAATCATTCAATATTCGTATTTAATTTTATTTTCTTCAATATGTGATACATTACTAAGTTTATCCCCACAAATAGTATGCACATTAATTATGAGCTTTATTTTCATGATATTTAAAGGTAACTTGATAGGTAAAACCTTTCCTTAATGTTATTTAGGATTTTCTTTGTATGAAAGTGTAAGAAGATTAAAAAATGAAATTAGCCAACGAACATAAAATTTTGTATATCATGTTAAAATGCAAATATATTTTACATCAGAATTAATTACAAGTAGTTCAGTAACTTAAGCCACGGATTATGTATTGAATTAATGTTAGTTTGCAATTAAAATGGTGTCTCCGCGCAAAGTGAAAACTTCTCGATTTCTCTTGGTTTTTCTCGCAAAAGTCTCGTTCTTAAGATTTCAGGTTTTGCAGCTATGTAAATGTTACAGACATATGTATCTTTACAAGAATCCTATCGAATCAGGTCTCTCTTTTATATAGTGCAAGTTGTCTGGTTTTAAGTTTGTTAACTTATTAAGGTTATAAGAAAGATATACATTACAATCTGTTTTCAATAAAATTCTTGAAACACTATCGCAAATAAATGCAACTTATTGCAGGTTCCTGCCAATTTCAGTGTGCATACAGTGGTGAGAATCTGATATCTGTAATTATAAATATGCGGTAAGTAATTAATCATTATAACCTTTGTAAATTTTCGAATGATGTTTAATAATGAATTTTATTCAGAGCAGGTATATTAAGTAACTGCAGAAGAATTCTATTTCATTCTCAGTCGATATTTGCATTTGCAAGAGTAGTAGGGGGGAAGGATGTGAATGAACCTAGAGTGGGTGTAAAACTAAAAAGGGGGTGTAGAACTGAAAACTGTAAAGGAATCGAGAACTGAAAAATATTGTGTATATGTCTATGTCTGTATGTATATATACATATAGTATATATATATTTGTTTATATAAAAATATAGCTTTAAAGAGCCCACCAATAAGAAAATTTACTTCTGCGTATGTGCATTCAACTGTCTATTTGATACAAAGTGGGAATGTATGTGCATATATATAAAATAATAGAATTCATATCTAGAAAACTTGAAAAGCTTATATGTAAATTAATATCAAACACACATGCACGTCAGTTTGGAAAAATACAAAATTGTAGCTAGAAAATTTTTATTTCAATTGCACTAGATTTTACAATTTATTCAAATATATGTCATGAAGTGCATAAATCTGTATTAGTGCACTATATGAACTTGATGTTTTTAACAAAAATATAGCTTTGAATATTCTAAAATATAGCTTTGAATATTCTAAAATATATATCGCTTCCACGCATAAATTATAACAAAGCATTACAAGACACACACATATATAAAGTGTAAATAAGATATATTTTAGTGAAAAACTGAATTAAACACATTTTTTGCTAAATAGATATCCAAGTATTAACAATCACGATTCTGCTTGTTATCATTCAGGTATCGGTTTTGACTAGTAAACTAATATATTAAAACGATATTTTTGTAAATATAATTTTAAATATCATATAGAAGAATTTCAGAATTTTCTGTTATATGTGAGCAGTAAATTTTACATCAGTCAGATATATTTGACTGCAAATCAACAAAGCGTATGCAAGCAATAATTGCTTTTGCGATTTAATCCTGGTTAAAATATGTATGGTAGTGGTATAATAAGATTTCCCAAAAAGGAGACTGAAAAAGTGACCGAGCTTATTAAAGCTCCCAAACTGTGTTTAAATATTAACTAAAATTTTTTATACGTGAGAAGTATATTTAGGTATATATTGTTAATAGTTGGAAATCGGTGGAATGTATTTGTGCTGCTATAAACCTGAATGATGTTCAGAAATCTTGTAGAATAACAAACATTAAATTTAATGCCCAAAGTGCAGTTTTGCCATTGCCATGGTTTAGATTTTCAGAATAAAAGCATTAAATTACATATAGTATAATTTAAATGTATTTAATTTTTTAACTGCAGTTTTGATACAATGCTTAGTGAAAGGTATTAAATTTAATGCATAGATAACTGGGTTGGCTTGGAGCTTTCCTTACATAGAACTGTGGGTTGCACTTAAAAGGTCGATTAATGACATTAATTGTGCCATTATTCTTTTTATTTATAAACCACAATTACTCTTAACTTCTGAATAAAAGCAAAAAACAATTTGTGGTCATTTTACTGAGCTCAGTAAAACTGTTTTGCATATATACATTTCCCCTAAAATTTGTTTGTTTATTTTTTGCAAAATAAAGGCATGTAATACATTTTTGTAGACATTTCTCTCAAAAAGTGAATTTTGCGTTTTAGTTGAGATATCAGAAAGAGTATATGGTTTTGGAAATAATAATGGAAATTGTTTTCCATGGTATTTTAGTATTTTGGAAGAAATAATTTAATTGTTGTCATATTCTAGTGTAAATAATCTTAAATAGCACCTTTCAAAGAATTACAAAATGCTACACATTTCTAATGTGGCAATGAAATAGTCTTGACATATAAATAATTTAGAAGACAATTTTCTTTCAAATCATTTCCTTGAAGTTCTTTTTCATGCGCGATTCCAGAAACATTCAGTTCTGAAGTAGTATCTCAGATCTTTAGCTTCTAAATATTTTATGAATATTTAGATGCTTTAAAAGTTTTAAAAAATAGTTAGAAGTTCCTTTTCAGTGCAGAATGAGCTGAATTTCTAAGGCTAAAACTAAACCTCGAATAGTTTATATCTCTCACGATTCCATAGGAAAAGGGTACATTAATGTTGAATCTTTGAAGACGCTACTTCAATCATCATCATCTCCTTCATCTTTTTCTTCTTCTTTTTTAACATTTTTGGCTTTTCTGGCTTCTGGCTTATCAGATTCTCCATCATCTTCAGATGAATCATGATTGAACTCCCAGTACTGGTCCCCAGAATCTCCGTTTTCATGTTCCCAGTTTACTTTAATCTTGGATTGTATCCCTTTAGTTTTATGATATCGCTCCACTGTGTGCTCGGGGCCTCCAATTCTATAACCGTATTCGTATGACTTGGCCTTAGGTACATTGGCATATCTGTAATGATAAACAAATATGTTAGATATACACCATGTAGGCAGATTTTGGAGATACAGAGAGATATTTAGCCCGTGAATGCCCAAATTTTCCTAACTTTTGCGTATAGCTCATCATAAATATGCTTTAACGGCCGTATTCAGAATGTAATATTTACAAATGACAAAAGTATAATTTATAATAATATTATAGTATAATTATAAATAATAATATAATTATACGGATATATTATAAATATATAAAATATAACTAAAATATTATATAAACTATTATATAGTCTATTATAATAAAAGTTTATTTATAGGGAAATTCATCTATTATGAAATTTAGCGTGCTGAAAGTTTAATTCGCTGTAGCCAATTCGATAAGAAAAATGGATAATTTCACAAAAAAATCTAAAGATTTGTAGAGTTATTAGGTTTTTTTTTAATGCTGGAGACTTGAAAAATGAGCAATGCCCTCGCCGGGACTCGGACCTGGACCTCTAGAATACGTACCGAGAGTGCTACCGTTACACCATGAAGGTATGGTGGAAAGAGGGAGGAAATACCTCCTTTTAAAGGGCTTTTTTAGTTAATATTTTATGAGGGGACCCAAATGCCAAATCCTAGTGGTGACGAAACATCGGCCACCACCTTTTAGTACGAACGCCACTTGTAGAATCATTAGGTTATTTTGAAGCAGGGGCTGTGAAAAATGTATGATGCCTTCGCCGGGACTCGAACCCTAGACCTCTCGAATACGCGTCGAGTATGCTTCCAATTACACTACACGAAGGCATGCTGGGAGGAGGGAGAAAATGCGTTAAAAATTGACAGATAAATTTCCAAAAATCTGATTAACATTGTCATGTCTATCAAAAGGAGTGAAAAGAACTCCAACCCTTTAAAAAAAGATCGTATTAAGCATTAATTATTATTGCTATTCTTGTTAACTGTAATTCTTAAGTCTTTTACACGATAAATTACATGGTATAGAAACCATGATTCAAACCCGTCTATGAAATGCACAGCGTCCTCCAAAATACACATTTATAGCTATGAATAACCATTTTCGTGGTACAGTATGATCCCCTAAAATATGCTTGTTGGGGTTTCTAATCTTCCAAGAACAGGATGTTGCATTTGCTTTGTACAACCTTAGTTTGAAATACGGAGAAAGGTGGGTAGTGAAGCTAAAAAAACAGTAGCATTAAGATGGTTTTCACAATTCTAATAGCCTATAGCTGATTTTGAGCCGCCCAAACAGCATAGTGGTTAGCGTCGTTGACTGCCGTGCAGAAGGGCCCGGGTTCGAATCCCGGCGAAGGCGTGGATGTTTGTAAATGCATAGTGTCGGTGCGGCATGGCGGTACTCTAAATATGCGGCGAGTCGAAAGTCCTCTCGTGTGGTTTGATGGAAGGGGAGAGAGGGGGTAGACACTCGGACCCTTCCCCCCCCGGGTGCTCTCCATCAAAATTGGAACGGAGCTAAATCGCACTGTCACCTGAATGGTGCTCAAGGCTGTTGCCAACGGCAAGCGTAATGTAGCGCTCCTTGCCATGAGGAATTTTGTGGCGAGGGTGGCTTGGGCTGACTTATGTCAGACAAGTGAGCATAAGCAACAACAACAGATGATTTTCAGAGTTGGTAATTTTGCAGTTAAAAGTTTCAGACATTTTGGCAAAAGTGTCTGAAAAACAGGAAAAAAAGTTTTAGTTGGACGGAATTTCGCTGTGTCTGATTTTCAGATGTTTGGAATTTCGCTATAGTGTTGTATAAAATAACATTAAGCGAATAAGAAATTGGATGGGACCAAAAAGGTCGTTCGTCATATTCGGGGTTTCGCTACAGCGGAGTTGACTGTATAACTACAGCATCTGATAAGATTTCCTCTACTTAACACAATGATAAAGAACACAATATTTTAAATATAAACACCGTATATTTCAAGGCCTGTTTTCCAAACATAAATGTATCTACTAACGACGGACATAATTTGCTATACATGGTAGAGACTGCAAAAAGCATATATAAATGATTTATTTTAAGTATTTTTTCACATTTGATATTATATGCTGTATATGGATAAACAGCCCGTATTTACAAATGCTTTCTGAAAAAGAGGTTTAAGTAAAGGTATTAAGGTTGGGAATTATTGGAAAATTTTTCCGTATTTAGATACCAAGCCTGTTTGAACAAATGTTCCTTATGTTGCATTTTTAATTGAAGCTTGATGCAAGGTAAGTTCTCTGATACATTTGATGCAACTTGAGAATGAAAAAGCAAACATATTGAAATGCACTGTGCGTTTTCTGAAAGCATGAAATCTGTTCCCAAGGTTTAGCGCTAACAATACCACATATTTTTTGTTGTTTTCATAACAATGTAGACGAAATTCTATAATGAATCAAATATTTATTCTTAATGTGAGATTGCCTAAATTTCAGTTTAATTTCAAAATACTGTCGTTCTTTAAAGTACCATTTATTAATTGCTTCTTCTTTTTTTTTTTTTTTTTTTTAAGATGTTCACTTCATTAAGTAAATAGCCATATCCCTTAAAAACCATCCAAACACTTTTCGTATTCGAAGTCAGTGATGCTAATGGTTAATTTTTAGGTTATAATGATGCAGTTTGTGGGTTGAATACTATTGATTTAGATAATACACTGCAAAGACTTGTGCAAAATATGAGAACAAACTCTTTTTATTACTATTATTTCTTGCAGTTATTATTATTATTTTGTAATTCCTTAATTCCAATCAGACTATCTAAATCTCAGTTCCTGTTTTTTTTTTCAACGCCAAAATACGTAAAAATGAAAATATTAAACATTTAATTTTTTCCAAGAGTTTTAACTGCGTGCAGGTTCATCGTTTTTTGAATTACAAATGGTTTTACAGTTTTTTTTTTATAAATAACAATAATTTATTAATATTGTTTCTTTCTACGTATATTTAATATTATATTTCTGTTTTTGTCATGCTTTTGTGACGAAAAAATAATATTTAGAATTTTCCGCTCTGGTTAAATGTAAGAATTTTTTAAGTATTTCAGGTGATAGCTTTTGAAGTATTTTTGGGCGTTATTTATCAGAATTATTTACTGAGCTGCGAAGCGAACGAGCTTTGAAAGTTGCTGATTGGACAATACAAAGGATTGCAGCCTGCATGAAATGCTCATAAGAAATGCTGTACATTTCGCTCAAGACAGGAAAAAGAAAAAAAAAAAAAAAAAAAAGAGAGCACCTCTCAAAAGGAAAGAAGGGAGAGATGATCAACTGAGTAGCTCCAGAGATAAAAAAGAAAACAGCTTAGGAATGACTACAAAAATTCTCAAATGAACCTGAAATGTCTAGTGTAAACTGAATCTCTAGTAATTTTGTTTCAAGTGGGTTATTGCTGGGCCATCAACTGAACATAATAAAGCAATTAGAATTTACAAGAAAGTTTACAGATTTGAACTTTCTGGTACAAAAACATTGTATGTTATATGAAGATCAAACAGAAAGTTGAGCCAGTCAAGAATTTATAAACCATATTATGGAACATGAAGATAAAAATATTTTTTTACGGATGCTTTATAGCTAACAAAGTAGATCTATGCAAAATTTCGTGGAAAATGCATCAGTAACTGTGGCATGATATCCTTACTTATTTTACTGACCGAACATTATGTTATTAAGAAGGCATCTATAATATCTAGCAGAAAGAAAAACAGCTGAGCAATTTCAAATCTTGCATTGTACCATAGAGCCAATACCTCAGTTATACTGAATAGTTATGGGATTTTTGTAAGAACAAGAGCTTTAAAAATCCAAAGTTAACACGAGACGTACGCTGTGGGAGCAAATACTGCACGTTTGAGATGAATTCAAAGTTCCTAAAATGGTTTGTTTTACCTTAAAACCTGCTATAAAAATGAAGTATTTCTTCTATTGTTCGGACTTAAATTTCTGTGAAAATAATGTTATTATAATTTGAAATTAAATGATTAAACATTTTCTTATTTATCATGATATATATTCTTTAACCGCAAGGAAGGAATAAAAAATTACTTTATCTAATTATTTTGCACAGTACTGTGCATTCCAGCAGTATATACTGATAGTGTGGAGAATCTGACCAAAATTCTAGATAAGTAAAATATTTTCAAACTAAAAAAAATCCTTCTAATTCTAGAACTGTGCTTTCGATGTCTGTGAAATTTAAAGTTGTGAAAAAAGTATTTTAATGTTGAGCAGTTTGTGCTATCATAAAAGTTTCATGGGGATCTCGGTGTACATTCGCTTTTAAAAAAAAACATTTTAGGACGCGAAATTGTTTTTGGTATTAAGAGTTAGCGCTTCGTAATTTGTCGCTCGCAGCAATTTCTGCGGGTCATAAATTCTGCTTCCAGCTGCCTTCCTAAGTTCAAAAAATTTTGTCGCCCCTAAACTCTGATTTCCAGTACCTCTTTCAAATACTAAAAATTTTGCCATCCCTAAATTTTTTTGCTCAATGATATTTTCTAAATTCTAAAATATGGTGTCTCATAAAATCTGCTGCACCGGTTGCACCGACTCTGGCGGTGGCACCGTTTGGCATTCGATATTTGTTTGGAATACGGCACACAGTCGCTGAGTCAGACTGCACGCCCGACATTGAAAATGTAACATCAAGAAGGTGTTGGTGTATTTAATTATGGCAAAGCACACGAGGGCTATCTGCCTAAGAGGAGGGATGCATTCGTGGAGGACTTTTTAAGGGAAACTGGCTCGTATACACGTTACAAATGGAGAAAACCACGAAAACGCCCATGCAGCCAGCCCGTTCGCGGGATTCGAACCTGGGACCGAACTACCAGTGTTCAGCGACGTTACCGCTCGGCCGCTGGTGGGCAACATCAAGAAGGAGTGGCCTGCAAATTATATAAATTTCAGGGTAGACGCACGTCACTGAGTTATGCGAATGATGTGAAAATGCGCAGCTTTCCCGCGCACATTGAAGAAGGTATAAGGGAAGGAACTTGCAGAATGT